GCAACTGCTTCTGACGATCAACATACCCCGCGGTCTCCTCCAGTACAACAGACTGTCGTTTGGTGTCAAGACCGCCCTAGTCACTTTCAAACAGACGATGGACGCCATGATCTCTGGCATTCCGGGTACGGCCGCGTACCTGGATGCTCTCCTCATTATTGGTCGCACCGCAGAAAAACTGCGAGAACGTCTGGTCTCTGTCTTTGAACGGATCCAGGAGTATGACTTCCTCCTGAGGGCTGAGAAATGTCAATTCTTCCTTCGGTCGGTCAAGTAGCTCGGCTTTGTCTTCGATGCTAATGGCCATCATCCTGACCCCGAAAACGTCCGAGCCATTCAACAGATGCCGTCCCCCAAAGATGTGTCAAAACTGCGGTGCTTCCTTGGCCTCATCAGCTACTACAGTGCTTTCTTACCATCGCTACACGATGTACGGGCTCCGCCCAATCGAGTGTTGCAAAAAGACGTTCCTTGGCACTGGTCCCCGCATGCGAGAAGGCCATCGTTCGTCTGAAATCCATGCTGAGTTCTGACCTACTGCTGACCCATTACGACCCAATCTTGTCGATTTTGGTCGATGCTGACGTCTCTGCCTACGGGATCGGAGCAGTTCTCTCCCATCGCTTCCCAAATGGTTCCGAAAAGGCGGTTATGCACGTCTCACGTACCCTGACGCCTGCGGAGAAGAACTATGGTCAGATTGAGAAAGAAACCCTGGCCAACATGTTTGCCGTTAGCCAGTTCCACAAGAAGCTGTATGGCCGGTGGTTCATGCATTTTACTGATCACATGCCACTACTTTCAATCTTCGGTTCAAAGAAGGGAATTCCCGCATACTCGGCTAGCCGACTTCAGCGTTGGGCTATCATCCTTCTTGGTTACGACTTCGAAATCCGCTACTGTCGTACACAAAATTTCGGTCAAGCCGACGGACTCTCTCACCTCATTTCCAAACATGCTACAGAAGAAGACACGGTTATCGCCGTTGTTACCGTCGAGGAGGACGTTTGTCATCAAGTCTCGAATGCTATCCAGTCTCCCCATTACTGCCGCCGAAATACGTCGCGCAACTGCGCAAGACCCTGTCCTGCAGAATGCCGTCACATACGTTCAGACGTGCTGGCCAAACACTGCCTTTTCTAACGAACTGAGACAACTGCATCAACGTCGCGACTCCTTTCTCGTAGTCGATTCCTATCTCATGACTGCAAACCGTGTTTTCGTTCCTTCATGCCTCCGGCAACCTGTATTCTGTCAGCTCTGTTCTGCTTACTCCGGTACGAACAGAACAAAGGCAATCGCCCGCAGGTATATGTACTGGCCTGGGAGTGACGATATTCAAGATTCGGTTAGCCGCTGCTCAGGATGTCAACAAGCATTCAAGATGCCACCATACCAACTAGCAGTTCCTCGGCAACCGCCAGAGAAACCGTGGTCTCTAGTGCACACCGACTATAATGGTCCGATCGATGGCATTTCCTACCTTGCCGTGGTCGATGCAAATTCCAAATGGCCTGAAGTGGTCGCCGTCAACCCACCAACCGCATCAGCCACGCTGGGTTGTCTACAATGAATCTTCAGTCAGCATGGAGTTCCCGAGGTATTAGTGTCCGACAATGGCACTCAGTTTACGTCTTCCATGTTCGAAGACTTTTGTCGCCGGCATTGCATCCAACACTTACGCTCACCGCCCTACCATCCCCAGTCCAATGGTCAAGCGGAGAGGTTTGTCGACACCTTCAATAGGGCACTCTTGAAATCTCGTGGAGAGGGGACTGTGGATGAATGCCATCAAGCGTTCCTGCTCTCTTAGCGGTCCACACAAAATCCAGCAGCTCTAGGATGCCAGTCCCCGGCTGAATCATTGATGGGCCGCAAGCTAGGCATCACTAACGAAGCGCTCATCCCGATCGAAAAGCCACCAAGTCAATCTACTATCTGTACGAAGCACAATGAGTTCGTCGTTGGAGCCCCGGTATACGCTCGCGACTATCGAGCAGGTCATCCAGGCTGGATTAAAGCAACAGTGACGGTCCATCGTGATAGTATGCTACATGATGTCGCTGTGAAAGACGACACATGGGTTCGCCACCAAAACCAACCTCGACCGCGACGCGGAACGCTCAATGAACAATCCAAGTCGGTTACACAAATAACGCTGCACGTACTATTGGATACTTTCGGAATCGCTGCGCAATAACCGGGGTCTATGGAAGTCGCACAGCCAACGACAAACCCAAGCGGTCCTCACCGCAGGTCGGAGTGCATCCGTCGAAGGACCGAAAGACTACAGATCGACCCGCAACTAAAACGGTATGTTCAGACTCGAAGGGGTGTTATAAGGGACCCAACGTCCCCACAATGATCACAAGCTTAAACCACCGAAAGCAATGAGACTCGCTTCAGACAAGTGCACGTTTCGATCAGCCTTCCAACTCGTGCGACATTCACGTTTCGATAGGCCTTTGTACCTCAGAAAACATCCCTGTTTCCGGCCAAAACATTCAGCCGTTTTTACCTAAGAAACATTCCCTTTCCCAGTCCAACCTCCGCATCTACCAACATTCACTTTTCAACATGTTCCGTTGGCAGATTTGCATAGTGCCAATTCAGTTACTTCCATGGTTTGCGTAAGCAAAACACTTTTCAGGCTATCCGTTTATGGAGACTTTCTCTCTGGTATAGTGCAGCTGTACCATGCTGTAAATGTGCATGAATTAGTAACGTAATTCTGCGTATGTGCCCCATTTCAATTATGGTAGAGCAACATAGATGTATATCTATTCGTCGCACGGTACTTTCGATATTCGGTGTTACAAAAGCACTTTCCCCCACAACTTCACCTGATGCACGAGAGTATGGGACGAGTGGTGAATGAGGTTCGTTCTAATTTCGTTCAGATGTTGTCCAATCAACTTGATTGTCGCTGAACCTTGCGTTTCCCAGCGCAGTCAGTAGAATGCGGCTGAAAAGCTGATGTTTAAATGTTTGCGGCAGACTTGGAAGTGGTGCTCTTAAAATAGCAAATTTGCCTGTATAGTTTAAAGGTCCCAAAGTACCATTGCACCATGTAGGGGGCTGACGAACACAGTTGCTATAAAGTTGCAGGATTCAAGGAAACTGGGTGGGATCAAAAGCAACTTGATCATAATAGACAGCTGATAAACACCGGAAACTTATTGAACGGCCAGCTTGTATTTGCTGGAAGCGACAACAGTGCTCATTTCCGATCACCAGTGGAGTCGAAGTAACACACATTGTAAACTGTCAAAAGGACCATGCAATCATCCAGTGCGAAGTTTGTGGTGATCTGAATGAGTGCAATCATGTTGGTTTCCATCCGGATGGTTAAAAGCTTACCGATACTTTCCCAGAAAATAGACTGGTTGCTCAGTGCTAGAGGATGTTCCTTTAAGTGGCTGCCTTAAATGCGGTGTGACGTAGCTTGGAAAATTACTTGGCGATTTCGGCTAGCAGTAATTGTTGAGGGCCAGGCGCAAATACCAACGTTTCACAAAAGTGAGATCACGAACTCAGATCTTTGCCTGGTCTACAGAGATTACGGAGTATCGAAGTGCCAAGAAGTTGTCGGTACCTTCTGATGCTCTGTTATGTGGCGATTGAAGTTCTCCAAGTCGTCAGATAGGTGTTTGTTGTGGAGAGTAGTAGGCAATACTTTGTTCGTTGAATCAAATGTGTCAAGTTATCATGCGACCCCTCGTGTTCTACCTCCCACTCATTCTGCTGACGAGATGATAGTAACGTACTTTATCTCGTGCGTTTCATTTTTCGATAATGAGTCCGCTCTTAGCATCAAATTACCCCACTCCGACAGCTTCGAAGGCTGCTAAACAGTTAACGAAGTTGAAAGTTTATAGCGCTTGTGAACTATTACTTTTTAAAGAAATGTTCCAATCCGTTCTCCAAGAGTTATTAAAAAGATCTGTTTAACCGTTAACCAAACTAGAATCTTGTTCCTGAGATCTACTTAGTACTTATACTTCAGTCAACAGGTTTGTTGCTACTGGTCTTCTTCAAGATCTACCTCCTAAGTCGCATTCCAACGTACAGATTGGGTGACACATCTAGTTACGGAACCAATCAATGCTGGTGTTAGCGGAAAATCAGGCCAATCGTTCGCCATCGGTGGACTGCGATTAACTCTTTCCGGCTCAGCTCCGTCGTACTGAATATCCCATTACACAAGCAGTGACCATGACGTTAAGAAAGTCACCTTGACTAATGTACGGGTAATGTTTATCTGAAAGGAACATTGCGGCGTGCACACTTGGATAAGATCAGTCAGTAGGCGTCAGAGGACTTCAGGTTGGAGGTCGTTTAAACCATTATATAAACCAGTAGACATAAACGTTGCGACCAAAAACCGATGTATTAGTGTAATCGCACATCGAGGAGGCCAACTGCTGTGTGTTGCTTCGGAAACCAAGCTACGACGTTAAAACGCAGTACGTATGATACAAAACGCCTCATAAGATTTCCCCATTTCCTTCATAGGTAAGTTTGCCTAACGTGGACCCATTAGTTCTACTAGGATAGCTGGCGCAGGCACTAGCTGAGCCTCTGAGCCTGATTCAGTCGTTAAATACATTCCCGTCAATGGCCGGTGTGGGAAAAATCAGTATACCACTGAGCTGGTCTGACAACGATAACACCGTAATCAAAATATGGGCGACCCAAGAAGGCAATGCATCAAGAACGTGACCGATGAGCATGATACGAATTAGTACATCTACAGCCAAAGGAATAGAATACAACTTCACCGTTGCTGTCGAATTAACTGTTTAGTTAGTTGGATTGTCGAAATGAAGCAAGCGAAACTAAGCAAGACCATCGCGTAGAACATCAAAAACCGGAGGATAACTAGTACTATGCTGCCTGTGGTCACAAACCCCATGGTTGACACACGGTTACTCGAGAAGACGGGTGAAAATATCTACCTGGGAGCGCGAATAAGGCAGTAATGAACCAAAAACACTCACTTGACAAGGCCCACTAGCAGCTGGACCAAAGGATGTATCAACGATCGTACCAGCTGGTGACGTTGAGAGCAGCCGGCAACAAAATCGGTCCATAACATCAAACTGCAAAGGAACTGCCAATTTTGAATTGCCGGTTTGGCATCCTAAAGGTGCACAGGGAAAAGTGACACGAATAGAGACGTGGAACTCTTATGAAAGGGTAATCGAAGTATGCATGGCTGGATGAGGACACAATCCGTGCGAGGGTAAAACCGTTGGAGACAAAACGCATACGCCTCAAGGGCGATTGATTAGTAGGATGATGTAGAGGTATAATTATCACAATGCGTGTGTGCGTGTTGTATGCGACTCAACACACACAAAGGGCAGAATGGCTACAAGCAGAGTAAGAGCGCCAGAGAATAGTAACGCTAAATGTGGGAGGAAACGGTTTGGAAGCAGTCAGTTTTATTCGCTCTCCCAAGTTAGCCATCGTTTGCACTCGTGCAAGTAAGATTCGTTAAGAGCAAGTTGAGTTCTGTGGAAAATGAGGCTGCACTGACCACAAGTTTACTGTACACGTTATCGGGTCACCAGAAATTATAATGGAGATCCATAGTAGTTGTGTTCCTCGACATCAACGGTGCCTTTGATACAACGAATTGATTTGCTCTTTGGGACCGTATGCGTAGAAGTGTGCTAGAGAAATACGTAATCATCAAAGCACCGTATGCGCGTAGTTCGGGCACAGTGATGGGTTATGGCAAAGTGCCACCACCCTTCAATATCTCCAGCAATGTGAAAAAAGATGACCGCTGTCACCGTTCTCTTTCAACTTCGTTATTGAGTTAAAAAAATACGTTCCGTGAATACGACTTAGGAGGTATGGAGTTGGTCCCAGATGACCGACTTCTCAATTTCGTATATACAGCCTACAAACGTGCCAAGCAGCAGTGGACGGTTAGCACTACCTGTCAGCCGTTTCGGGGTTCGCTTTGCACCTTCCAGATGCAAGGCTATCCTGCAATAGTAACAGGGGTCACTCCGCGCTGACCCTTTGCAAGAATTAGCTGTGGTTAAAACATTCAGCTAACAGGGTCGCAATACTAGCGCCTGTGGGACAGAAAATAAGATCACGAACCGTATAGCCAGAGCTCGAGGTGCTTTTACTCAACTTCGCCACTTACGACGCTGTCACGACATCACTCTCGTCCGGAACAGTAGGAGGTACAATGCAATCGATCACTCAACTCTTCTGCACAGGTACTTAAAGAGGCTAATTGCGTTCAATCACCGATGCCTTCGCGGCTTGGTTCATATTTAGCGTAGGCGACAAACTGCTTGGAATTCTTGAACAAACTCGTTTCCACTGGAATCAACAAAATAAAGCCGGCAATGGTATACGGTATTGTTCATAAACGATTAGAAACACAAAGATGCAATAACTCAACAATCTGTAGTTCTAGCATAAGCCCAAATCAACAATTTGCAACTCACACAAAAGAACCAACAAGTATGGTTTTATATAACATGAAGAACAAACTGACGTCTCGTTACGCCGAACTTTTGTACGAAAAGGAATGTGGATGGCTGACCAATCAAATGTGAGGCTATCCTGAGCCGTGGACGTTGCGAATCTGTGCGTTACACACATAGTAATGACAGTGTAAGTGGTTTAACTGTACACAGATATGGAGAACAACAAAATAAGCCGCACGTACGAAATGGTTTCCCTGTGTGACTATCAACCACTTAAGCAACGCAGTCTTGAGGTCACTATTGTAATGCGAGATAACGTGAGCCGAAATTCAACAACGAAGTTTACACAGCACTGTCAAGATAGCGAAGGGGTAGAGATTGAAACATGCCATATTTTTTCCCAGCCTATTTCATCCATAGGGCTGTAAAATTCTTCGTTAAGGTAATGATGTTACTCCATGGGTCTCTCAAGGTGGTCCTTAATGTAAACAAGTTGCATCCAAAGGGCGCAAACGGCCAGTAATGCTACTGTCCATTGAGTGCCTAATCCCCAATCCACCAATAGTATCCCATACTGTGTACTCATCCGTTATAATATTGGCTAATTTGGGATCAATCAATCAACGAACAGTATGCATTTTTTGGAGCGTTTGCTCTCGTTGAATCATCATGAAAGACGAACATGATTTCCTTAAAGAGGAAGTTGAAAGCGCTATGGATGCAAATAGCGGAGAAAGGGTTTGGAGCACGAAAAACACTAGGTGAAGAAATAATGGATCCGTTCAGATTTAAGCCAGGTCAATGTATGAGTAATTGAATGTAGTGGGCCAAATTCCCAAAGTGGAAATGAGTTGACATCGCATCACAGAAACTGGACTGAGAGCCAGAACATACAAATTTTGGGTTGGGACAAAGAAACAGTTTGGTAAATGGTAGTGGAAATCACAGCGAGGTGATCATTGAGTAGAATGAAGTTATCACAGAATAGGGCATAGGGGATTCTTCTACATCTAGTGGTAACATCGTTTAAGACATCCGCGTGTTCGGGTTCATGTTTATGGCGCAGGAAGTGAAAGTGAAGAGTTCAGCGCCATTATTTCACGCACCAAACTCCGATGGCTGGGTCACACGTTACGCATGATAGCACACCGGCCACCGCGACGTGCACCGGTTGTGCAACTAGAATATGGATGGAAGAAGAAAAGGAAATGCCAATCGCTGACTTGGTAAAAAGAATGAAGATCCCCACTTCGAAGTTGGCTTCGGTTGGATTCTCTCGACTCAATGATTGGGATCGGAAAGATGGCGAACACGCTTGGTTGGATACACATGGCGGAGAAGTGACCTCAATAGCTCTCGGATGTGACTTTTTATAATCCCGCCCTGTTCCGCTTAGCCCCCCCCCCCAAACCGCGACCTCAGACTTGAAGTGTAATATGATTTTTCGTTTTGTTTTGCTTTTGCCGTTACTTGTCCATGGCGATGAGATTGGACCTTAATGTGATGTGATAATTTGTATACCTCAGCGATTCATTGGGCTATGCTGGGTAGTGCTTTTCCACCTCCAGACACATACCAGATTGGTTAATAAATAGAGAAACGCAGTCTCCTGGCCCTCTAGGTTGGGGATTAAAGTGAGGGTGGTTCCTTCATAAAACGGATTCAATGTAACCAAGTGCCAAAACCCCACTGCCTTGCGGTCAGGTTTTCAAACCGACTACCGGGATGGGGACCGAAGGACGATGAACACGTTTGGTTGGATATATCGGGTGACATGGCGAGGAGCCGACCTCAAAATGATGTATGTGCCGTGAGTCTTTTTCTCTCTCCTCTCCATTTTAGCTCTAGACAGCAACGATTTCAAACACAATGCATAATGTGACGTTTGCCTTATGTTACAAATTTAGCCTTTGTGGTATGTAATGCTTGAACAATCTCTTTTCTGTGGTACATTCGCTGAGGTACGTTTCTCACCCTCGGCCAACGTGTATTGGTGATGATGGGTTTTTCTCTTTCTCATTCTCTGCCCTTGTCATCTAGCTGGTTTGTATTGGGGCCTAATAGCCGAGGTGTTTCTCAGCTCTAGCTAACGTGTATGATGCTAATGATGCATCGCAATGAAACTGGACCTTACCGTGGTGCGATGGTTTGCGTGCCTCAGAGATCCATTAAGCTATGCTGGGTGGTGTTTTTTTTGCACCTTCAGAGCAACTCATACCAGACTGGTCAATGGTTAGAGGCCAGAGAAACTCAGACTCCTGGTCCTCCAGGTTGGGGGTTGGAATGGGGGTGGCTCCTCATTTCATAAAACGCGCTCTGTAGTCCAGTGCCAAAATCCGCTGCCTTGCGGTAAGGTTTTTGAACCAAAGGCTTTGGTTGAGAACCCTAATCGTCCTCCTGTCTAGGCCTGGGCAACCTGACAGTATTCTGCCCACGCAATACAATGAACCTTTCCTACAACAATTTCTTGATGCTCTGGCCGTCGCAGAGGATAATAAACGGCGCCCTATCTGCCGCATCGAGCAGGGTGGACAGGGGTATGGACGCTACTGCTCAGGCCTTCCCGTCTTCTTATACCCCTTCTTGCGCTCCTTCATCCTTATCGTCCGGATCCAATTTTACTTATATCCCCCCATTTTCAATCCCCTAATTCTTGTCACTCCTCAAGCTTACTTCAATAGTCGCTTGTCTTCTAATTTCAAATCACACACAATCGCAGGGCCTCGCTCCAATCCAGTCGACAAGTCCATGTTCAACCAAGCGGACAACGTCAGTTCATCCGTTTCCCTTTGGAGTCCTAGTGTCTCGCTAAGACTGGCATGCCTCAACGTGCGCACTTTGCTGCAGATTGGACAACAGGCAGCACTTGTCCGCACACTAGAGACCCTCTCGATCGATATTTGCTGTTTATCAGAAACCCGCCTACAAGATTCGAGCTCCGTGCTTACCCTGAGATCCCCCATATGCGACACTGGCGGCAGATTCTCATTGCGCCTGTCTGGCGATAATGCAGCTTCAAATGCCGGTCAAGCTGGCGCCGGTATTGTTTTCAGTCACCGGGCTGAAGCTGCCCTGATCGATTGAATCCCAGTAAACAGTAGGATGTGCGCCGTTAGATTAGCTGGTTCGTTCCGTGCTAAGAAGTCGCGCGGGGACAAACGGTGCCTGCATGTCATTGCGGCCTACGCCGCCACAAACTGTAGTACTGATCCGGTAAAAAGTAATTTCTATCAGCAACTTCAAGGGCTCCTTCGTTACAGAAGAAGCACGGATACTGTGGAGTTGGCTGGCGATCTAAACGCCCAAGTTGGAAGATTGTCCTCTGATGAGCTTCATCTGGGCGACCAACATGGTGTAGGCTTCCGTAATGATAATGGTGAGCGATTGCTACAGCTGTGTGAAGATGCTCGCCTGTTTCTCGCGAGCACTAACTTTCGACACAGCACCCACAGAAGTGTGACTTGGCGGCCACCAGCCTCGGGCCAGTCATGGACGCAAATCGATCATATCGCGATCAGTTACCGCTGGAGAGGCTGTGTCCAAAACTGTCGCTCGATTTGGAGCACGAGCGTAAACTCTGACCACGCACTTGTCTGTGCCGACCTCCTGGTGCGTTTCGGTGGACGTCCGCAACG